AATCTTATAGTAAAAATTTCAATATTCCAAATTTGTCTGGACCCTTAATTTGTTTATAACTTTCTTAGTTCAAAATCTTATGTAGCTTTTTGGCATTTATTTCAAATTATTTTAAGTCCTTAAAATTATAGTTAATTTTTCTTTTGTTCAGAAATGAAGATAGACTCACCAGGTGGCTTTTCAAACTTGCCGTTACGAACATTTCTCATTGTCTTAAGATAGTTAAATAGGCAATTTCCGAAAGTGATTAGAAGCGAGGCTAGCGAACTTCGTGTCCTTTAAAAGGCTCCACCGCGAGATCCCTTTGTCTCCCAGCACTCAAACCCACAGAAGACCGCTGTCCTGCGGTCTCCTCGCGAGGAGCAGCCGTCCTGCGCACAGGTGGGTGATCTCCTCTCCCCTTCTTGTCCAGAAAGGTTCCAGCGAACTGGCAATTCATAATTTAAATAGTGCTATCCTTTTTTTTTTACAGTTAATTGTTTTATTGTGCTATAAGATGCAAATAATACATTATAAAATACAGATAACATCTGGATGCAGTGGTATCTGTACAATATAAACTAGAAATTGTTAACACTATAATAATTTAGATAACTTAAATCTTTAAAGATAAGGAAAAAAGTTTAAATCAATGTTAGCTATAATTCTGAGATGATTAGATTAAATAAAATAGCTTAATGAACATATGTTTGAATTGTACAATAAAAGCTAAGTGTGGGATTGATAGACTATTGCAAAATGCACGGAATTATTTTGTAATATAATAAGGATTTCTATCTTGAGCTTGGTACTTAATACTAAAGTGTCCATTGTATTATTATTCATTGTTGTTTATGAATATTAAAAAGAGGAAAGACAAAAAACAAAACAAACTTTCTTTTTTCTTAATTATTTTTTGGTTATTTTGGTATTTTAATTCTCGTTAAATTGGTTTTGCTTATCATATTTTTTCCTTTTATTAACATCCAAATATACACACACACACACATATATATATATATACACATATACACACACACATACATACACACACACACATATATATATATATACACATATACACACACACATACATACACACACACACATATATATATATATACACATATACACACACACATACATACACACACACACATATATATATATATACACATATACACACACACATACATACACACACACACATATATATATATATACACATATACACACACACATACATACACACACACACATATATATATATATACACATATACACACACACATACATACACACACACACATAAAATATATATTAAGCAATTATACAATGGAGACTTCAATACTAGCTCCAGATTGAAACCTTTATCGTACAACAAATATTTTGATGTAATCTGCAGTAGTTTCTTTTCTTTTCTAATGTTATGCTCAATTTCGTATAAAAAAGACAAATAATTTTATGCTCCTAATATTGATATCCTCAATTGTAATGAATTCTGATAGAATATTTCTTTCTCTTTTCTTTATTTCTAGTACTATAGAAATAACTTAATCTAAACAATAGAATGTCAATAATTTTAATTAATACTATGCACATATCATTGTATCGAAACAAGATAATGTACAGTATTAAGATTTAAAACAATATAATAAAAAGGAAAAAGGAAAAAAATAAGAAAATCTG